TTGCCTCTTTGGCAACTGATGTGGAGAAAGTTCCACCTGGGTCTAGTTTGATTTAGAGTTTCAGAATGTCTGAATTTGGCAAATTCTTAAGTGCAGCCTTAATTTTGAAGCCGTTTTTCTTTTTTTTCTTTTAAGAAATTACAAAAAAAAACTTCAAAGTTAAGACTGAATTCAACTATTTGCCAAAAGTAAATCTAGCCCTAGGTGGGATTTGTCCCCACAGATTTCTTCCATGGTGTCAGGGTGACATCAGGGATAGAACACAAAAGCAACTCCAATGACAGGACAGGAGAATTATAGAAAAATAATCTGCTCATTCGTACACAGATGAAAGCCACCAGGTTGTCAGGATATCATTTTAACTAATTGCAAGAGGATAAGGTATCTTCAATATATTCTAAAAAGTTCAGAGTTTAACTGATAACAGCTGTGCTCAGAGCTCCTTTGAAGTTGATTGAACTCAAAAGGACTGTGGATTCACCAGCCAAGCTTCTGACTCACTTGGTCGAAGATCGTGGGTTCAAGCCCCATGCCAGGACTTTGAGTTCAAAACTGATACTCCAGCACAGTCCTGGAGGAGCACTGCATTGTCGGAGATACCATCCTACCAATGAGATATTGACCCAATGTCCTCTCAGATCCAGGAGCACTATTTGAAAAGAGAAGGGAATTTCTTCCAGTGTCCTGACCAATAAGCCCCCAGATAAAATTGGTCATTTACTTTTTGACTGTTTGTGGGACGATTGCTGTGTGCAAATTGCCATAGAACCAGAGTGAGAAGTAGAAATGCCAGGACAGAGGAATAGCGCTGGAGGAGACTGAAAAGGTAGGGACAGGATCATGAAGAGATTTGAAGGTTAGGTTGAGGATTGTGAAGTCAAATTGCTGGTGGACAGGGATCCAGTGAATTCTACAACCTACATGATTTAATCCCAGCCACTTGCTAATCCCCCAATAACATTCCCAATGGTCTCCGGTAACTAGAACCAAAGTGATCCAGAGGGTTATTTGATAATAATATCAATAATAACTATAATAATAATTACATTTGATATAGTGCCTTTCACATCAGGAGAACGCCTCAAAGCAAATGATCAATTCACTTTACAGTATATATATTCAAAGACTTGATAAGGTGCTATATCAAATGCAAGGATTATTATTAATATTATAAAGTGTTGCAGCAGCCAATTGCACACAGCAGAGTCCAGGAAACAGCCATGAAGTAAGTGAATGTCCAATTCGATCTGGGGGATTGTTGGCCAGGACACCAGGAGAAATTCCTTTCTCCTTTCAAATAGTGCCAAGGGATCTTTAACGTCTACCTGAAGAGGCAGACTATCATCCATGCGATCTTATCTGTATAACCTTCAATCCCACTTAAAAGCCCAGAGTCAGCTAATTTTCAAAGGGTTTAAGCAACATAACTAACTTATTTTGATGGGAGACCATTCCACTGGTCTGGCATGGCACTAAAAGCATTTCTTCTTGTCCCTAGTTTGTTTTGCTTGAACCTTGCTAATTATTTTCAACTTGTTCCCTCCAGTTCTGTAATCACTGGTTTTGTTAGATGGGGGGAGTGTGAAGTGTACTGACTGTATTTTGTAAGTGTCTTTGTTTTTGAGGCTCTCTGCAGCCAGTTTCCTGACTGGTGTTTTGCATTCCTGGATCTCTGAATCAGCTTCCACACTGAATAGCATTGACTGACCTATGTTAAAGTAAATGGGATCACTCCATCAGTGACTCACTCCATTAGTGACTCCCAGACAATGGAGTAGGTGCCAGGTATGTGGATCCTGAAGACCCTCTCTTTGTCTCACATCTTAAGACCATCCTCTTCGACCTAGCCTTTGGCCACTTTCCTACCCTCCCTGCCCTCCACCTTCCCTGATTCCAACCCCGACCCCCCGCTCGGGTTCAAATCCCTGACTGTCCAGTTCCTTGGGACTTCTTTCTGATGTGAAAGATGCTCTCCAAATGTAATTTTGTATTTTGCTGTGTTTGCATCCTCAAAACACCAGAGATTATTGTTCAGGAGAACCCTATTTGAAACGAAAATGGAATTTCACCCAGTACCCTGGTCAACAATCCTCTAAATAATAATAATCCTTGCATTTGATATAATGTTTTTCACATTGGGAGGACCTCTCAAATTACTTTGTAGGATGTGGCAACTTTTTTTTAAATGTAGGTGAACACAGCAGCCAATTTGCGCATAGTGATGTCCCATAAACAGCTATGATGTGAATGATTAATTTTTATATAGGGTATTGTTGGCCAGGACACTTATAGGAAAAACTCCCTTCTCTTTTCAAATAATGCCATAGGATCTTTAATATGCACTTGAACAGGCAGACTGGTCCTTGGTTTTGCAACTCATCCAAAGATTAATTTAGTCATTCAATTCATGGCTGTTTGTGAGAACTTACTGGCTCAAAATAACTACAATAACTATCACTGATGTAAATTATTTGTGAAGCACTTTGAGACTTTATGATACAAGACATAATAAATACATAAGGTTTTGGTTCTTCATTTGCACTGTATATTATTTTTTCTACAATTTAAAACAGGAAGTAAGGCTGCAGTCTACCCTTTCCCTTTTAATAACCTGCTCAGGTCACATTCTTATGCCTCTCAGTATTTTAGCAAAGCGGTTTCTACGTGCTGTATCTCTTTGTTATTGCTGATCCAATCCTCAGTCTAACTCATTGACTTGCATTAGGAGGAGCATTGCGTCAACCTCCATTTGACGCTTTGCTATTCAATATTAAGCGATTTCTGCCCTAATTTTGTTTCTCCATCACTCAGCCTTAACAGAAGCTCTTCTTATCTTCTACCGTCCCCAAACTGTGTTCCACATTCCTGTATTTCAGAGATAACAATCCCAGTGCCTTCACCATTGCATATGGAGCCTCTTGTAACCCAATCCAGTTATTGTTTCAATGAGTCTCCTCTTGCTATCTTATTCTCTTATTAATCCTATCAGTGCCAGACTTGCTGTTAGTTTACTGCACAAAGTATGCTAATTCGGAACTTGCTAAACCTCCAGGTTAAGAAGGGAGGGGCGGGGAAGAAAGCATCCAGGGTTATTGCTCCTGATCCTTGTATGGAGATCATGACCTCTTTTCCCCTCCCCTCAAAACAAATGAGATCATGATGAAGTTCGGCTGTGAAGTGAGTCCAAACCTCATAACAGAATAACCTGCTCACACTCACTGTCAAGGCTTACACACAAATAATGGCAACCTTGATGGGGTACCACAGGGCATCTGTGGAGCCATACTGCTGTGATCAGAAACAGATTATTGTTTAAAATAGTTTTAGTTCAGTTAGGAATTCTTATGCTTGTCAACTAGTTAGCTTTGAATGAGGTGTTAAACCAAGATCCCACCTGCCTGTTCAGATGGACCTTAAAGATCCCATGGCTCAATTCGAAAAGAGAAGGGAATTTATCCCAGTGCCCTGGCCAATGATCCCCCAAATAAAATTGGTCATTTGTTTCATGGTTGTTTGTGGGACATTTTCCTACAAAATACACAGTCACTCCATTTCACAGTTATTCCTGTGAAGGGCTTTGAGACAAACCTCTGATGTGATAAGGCGCTATACCAAATGCAAGGATTATATTATTATTATTGTGTCAAGCTGTGGAATGACAATCTCGATTATAAATTAATTATTTTGATTGAGTGAAAGTTGCTTATGCTTATTAGTCAGTATCAAAATGACTTATTGAAATATAAGCCTACCTCATTAAATTGAGCTGAATTGTAGAAGCGACATGTGTTATAGGGTAGTTAGCATGATTCCAACTAACATGTTATGGGAAAACGTTAGAATGATGTGCCATGAAGAGTTAATCGGTTCAGAAGAAAGAAGTGTATTGATCATAATTGTCTTGTTAATTGTTGATATATTGGTCCTGTACTGTTTTAATCAGAATCAGTCCTTGGGTGCTAAAGAATGCTTATATGTCTTTCTGCCTTATTAAGTAAATTAACTGTTGAACATAAAATACAAATAACTTTGGTTCCTCTGACCCCGGGTTCCTTTTTTAAAATTTCAGTGTAACAGAATAAGATGGTCTTTTCTGGCCACACCTTGTTGTCCCAGGCTTACGCAGTTAAACAGAGCAGTTAATTCCACTACTGGCCGTACTTTTGAACCCATCAGTACCTCAGCACGTGAAAGATTTATGTCACAGGCATGTTGGCGTGTTGGGCTAAACGGCCTCCTCGTCAGTCTAGGCTGTCGCTCCATTGCAGTTCTGGGAGAATACTGTACTGTTGCAGCTGCTGTCATTCACACAAAATTTTAAACTGAGGTTCCTTCTGGCTGTTCAGGTGGACGTTAAAGATCCTATGGATCTATTCAAAAAGAGAAGATTTTCTGCTTCAACAATCCCCCCAGATATAATTGATCATTCACTTCATGGCTGTTTGTGGATTGTTGCTGTACGAGAATTGGCTGCCACGTTCGCCTATATACACACACTTTACAGGAAAAATCTTTTGAAGCACTTTGCAACATCTTGGCTGTGATAAAATCCTATAATCAAATACAAGTATTATTATTATAAATCATGTACAATATGAACAAAGTCCATCACCTTTAGGAGAGGATAGAAGAGGAGAGGAGAGGTGAGTGAGACAGGACATTAGTGGAGCATTAAAGAAGTGTAAAATCACAGACAAAGTTTTCCAGTTTGTCTCCTGACATTTAAAAGAGTCAGACTGAAGCCTAACAGGATACGGTTCGGTTTTGTAACTTAAAAAAAGAAGTCGGGAGGTTGAGGGCCATCCCTTGCGAGACCTGTTCATCTAATTGAAAATGAAAGGCGATATTAAAGCAAGCCAAAAACATTTGTAATCTGAGCGATCAGTTTACAGGCCACACGTCAGTCTAATAAAAAGTAAAAGTGACAGAGGCAGCTGTGAGCTGAAATACACTTATCACTTTAAGTAGCTCTTGGCTGTGCTCAAGGGAACTTTGTGGCACTCTCTGCAGCTGAATGGAGTTGAACAAGACACCTTGACTTTCTTGGTTGTAAGTACTCTGTCTTATTAATAAAACCGGTTCTACTAAATTGCAGCCGATACTTTTAAACACAGTTAAATTTTTCCAATGGATAAAGGCACTTGTGACTGTAAATGGACTGCAAAGAGAGCTGCAGTGTCTCACTCAGGTCTGTGGTGAGAGTTAGCTGATCTAAGCTAATGGAACTAAATTGTTGGTGGGATGGTGCTACAGTTGGCCTCAATGCGGTGGTCAAAGGAGGAAAATGATCAAACAGGTGATCCTGTTCCTGATCTCTGTCCAGCAACTCCTGTTGGAAAGTACATGAGTGGTGTGTGGAAAGAAATTGGGGACAGGATTGGGCTCACCTTCCGGGGTTGAAAAGCCTGCACGACAACAACCTAATATATAATAATTCTTACATTTGATAAGAACATAAGAAATGCTAGATATAAAAAGACACATTGTCAAAACGTTTCAAACATAGTCACTGTGTATTTGTAGGCAAGCGTAGTGGCAGACAATTTGTGCACAGCAAAATCGCATGAATAGCCATGAAGTGAATGACCAATTTTATCTGTTTCCAAGCCATCAGGAGAAATTGCCTTCTCTTTTCAAATAGTGCCATTAGATCTTAAATGTCTACCATGAACAAGCAGATGAGACCTTGATTTAACATCCAAATAGAATTACGTAGAGTGTAATTTGGCTCAAATAATCTGTGCTGGTGTTTATACTCCACATGAGCCTCCACCCATCCTAATAAACTCTCTCTAACCTGTATCATATCCCTCTATTCCCTTCTCCCCCTCTTAACTGCATTGACACTTTCTGCTTCAACCACAGATTCTGGCAGCGAGTTCCATATTCAGGCCATTCTCCTGTATAAGGAAATTCCTCCTAAACTCTACTTGCTCTTTTTATATTTACACCTCCTTATTACGAACTCACCAACAACTTATTTATGTGCACCTTATCAAACCCTTTCATATTTTTAAATACTTTTATCAGGTCCCCTCTCAAATATCTCATCTCTAGAGGTGATGACAATCTCTATATAGTCCTGGAGCTCAGTGGTTAGAGCACTCACCTTGCAAGCGAGAAACCTGGGTTCGATTCCTGGTAGGGCGAAATGTTGGGCAAGTTTCCTTAGTCTACACACCTCTGTTTAACTAGCAGTAAGTAGAAACCAGGTTGTTAGGTGATTGGCGGATTGTTTTTCCGGGAGATAATAATTCCTTCAAAAAAAAATAGTAATTTTTATCCACGAAGGTTTGTGGGACACTGCTGTGCGCACCAGAGTCTCAGCCGAGACTGTAAGCTCAAAGTCTCCATGTGGAACATTGAACCCACAACCTTCTGATTCAGAGGCAAAAGTGCTACCAACTGAGTTAAGATGACACCTACAAACCTTATACAATGTACACTTGCATTGCATGATTCACGTAGGATAACATCTCAATGCTCGTCACTGCACTCACTGTCCAGACACATGCATGAAAAGCTGCCACATGGATAAAGTGCTAAGTAGATAGATATCAAACACTCTTTGAAACCAAACTCAACTGGAGTCAAAACCTTTAAGGGAAGTATTACTGGATGGAAAATTGTTCTTTTTTTAACACTGATTTGAGTCTTTGGACAAAACAGTTTGTCAATAAACTAGAATGTTTTGTCACTTTTGTCTTTAAAAAATCTAATTTTATATAGAAATAATAATAGTGATAATAATTTTATGTAGAATCACAGAGACTAGACTCAAAGTCTTTGAGCTCAAAGCCCCAATGTGGGGTTTCAACTCACAACTTTCTGACTCTAACGAGAGTGCTCTCAACTGAGCCAGACTGATACCCTATCCACATTACAAAGACACATACTGCTACATGACACTGCTACACAGAATGCAGTAAGAAATGCTAACCATGTGTTTTTCAGGCTGAAACTTGAATGATCTGAAGTTTACTGCTGAAAACTTCAAGAGGTTGACCAGAGATTGGCAATTCAAGCATTCCACTTCATCCTCACTGAGCAATGCAGTCCAAACAGCTAAACTTCACATAAACAAGGAGAGATTGGTGAACACATTGTTACACAATACAAATACACGCACACGAGAACTGGAAAGTAATCCACTGCAGAGACTGATCAACAGAGGGAAGATCTTCCTTTAGTGATATACTAGGCAACTCGACCAAAATGATTCAAAATATGCTGCAAAAACTTGGTGAAACTTATAGCAGGGAGGCTATTGATCACCAGAAACATGCTTTTTCACTTTTAAGAGAGGGAAATGAAGTGAGTTTTGCTGTTCATGAGAACATAGGACAGAGGTAGGCTGTACTGCCACGAAGTCTACGACAATTCTTTAATCTTATTCCCGCCCTCTCTTTTCTCAACAATATCACAGCCACAGTGACCCAACTGAGAAAAGAGTTGCATTGTTAGTTACGCAGTCCTTCAACAACAACAGCAACAAGATTCCATTTATAGAGCGCCTTTCACTTCGGGAGGACGTCCCATGTTAAACTGGGGTCCCGTCTGTTCCTCAAATAAAGTTAATGATTCACTTTATAGCTCTATGATGGTCACCGCTGCATGGAAATTGGCTGCTGCGTTTGCCTACAAAGTATCCAGTTACTACACTTACTACACAGTAAACCATGCGAAGTGCTTTGAGGCATGAAAGACAGACGCCATACCAAATGCAAGTATAATTATGTTAGGACATGGAACACCTTACCCTAGAATGATGGTTGAAATAGAATATTAGCTTTTCAGAGGCAATTAGATAAGTATTTGAAAGGGAGAAATATAAAAGAGTATGTGGTGGGGTGGGGGGGAGGGCAGGGAAAGGCAAGAGAGAATGAGAGTTAATGGATTATTGTTTCAGAGAACCAGCACAGCCATGATGGATCACCTTCTGTGCTGTAACTTTCTATGGTTCTAAAATTTTCACCAAATACCAGTGAACGCAGCTCTGTTAGCTGGACAGTGATAATTATTCTGCCTTACCTAAACCTCACTTCATTATTTCACAGATGACTCTGTCAATGTTAATTTTACAGGTCAATCCAAAGAGAGGTTGCCGTAAAACTGAAAAGGATTTAAGAGGAAATCTGTGCAGATCGATACAGATGGGGATTTGCGTGTCAAGGAAGGTTTCAAGGGAAAACCTGAGAAAATCAATAAAGAAAGGAACAAAGCCTTCGGAGAATGAAGCGTTGTTTTTGGTTGCTGAGATAAGGAGCCAATTGAAGATGGTTTATGGATGCCTCTCACTAGGGTTAGCAATGATGGACATGACAGAAATCCCTAAAATGATCTGGGCGGTAACTGAGGTAGAGAAACTCAATGTGTCACATAATTGTCTCATCACTATCACGCCCGGCATTGAAACCCTTCAGAACTTGGTTGTTCTAAACCTACTGGGAAACCAATTGGCTGTTCTGCCCAAGGAGATTGGATCGCTGAAGAAGCTTAAGGTCTTATTTGCAGGCTGGAACTGTCTGAAGGAAGTACCGGTGGAGCTGAGCTGCTGCAAGAAACTCCAGGTATTAAGCCTGTCGAACAATTTGATTTCATCTCTCCCTGAGAGTCTGGAGGAGCTGAACAGGCTGGAAAAGCTCAACCTAAGCAACAACCAATTTATTCAATTTCCCCCCTGTATCTACGGACTAAAGAGACTAGTCTTCCTAGATGTGGGTCACAACAAAATCAGGAGCATCTCAGAAAGTGTGGGGCAGCTGGAACGGGTCAGCGTGTTCATTGCGGAGGAGAACAGACTCCAATATCTGCCTAAATCCATCTCTTTGTTACGGTCCCTTAAGCTGCTGAACGTGAACCACAACGATATTGAATCTCTTCCTGTGACGCTCCCCATGTTGACCGACTTGGTGAGAGTGGCCTGCCACTCGCTGGACACGGGGCTGCACGTCAAGGGTAACCCTCTGGCCAAGCCGCTGCCCCAGCTGCTGGATGAAGGTCTGGAATCGCTCTTTGATTATCTGAGACGCTCTGAGGCCAATAAATAAGAAGCAGTTTCGGTTTTGTTCCACTCATCAGTTTTGATAGTTTTTCCTAGCCTACTACAGTACAGTACAATAGGACGGAGAATTCAACATGAACGTTACAGCTGTGGAACATGAGGAAGCAGAAGCAATGAGGTTTCCCAGGGACAACTGATTGGGTCTGTCTGCAATTGCATATACGCTGCTACCCTGACAAACCAAACCCCCTGGATCTCAGCAGCATTAAACCCTAGGAAACTGATTCTAAGTTACGGCATGTATAAACATTAAACAACATGGAATAAACTTGAAACACACTTGCTTAAATTTAATAAACTTTATTTAGCTAAAGTGGGTCTGATTTCCTCTCCCGCTTCACAAAGTGCTTCCAGGATATAATAACTTGCACTTATAATAATAATCCTCGCGTTTGCTATAATGCCGTAACACAACGTTAAAATGTCTCAACGTGCTTCCACAGGATTTTACTTTAAACCACGGTAACTGTGTGTTTGTAAATGAGAGCAGCAACCAGTTTGCGTATAGCAGTGTTTCATAAACAACTACAAAGTGAATGACCAATTTACTATGGGGGAGGGGGTTGTTGGCCAGGACGCTGTGAGAAACTCTTTCTCTTTTTTCTAATAGTACTGTGAGTCCTTAACGTCCACCTGAACAGGCAGACAGCACCTTGGGTTAACATTGCATCAAATGCATGTCTTGAGACAGTTCACAAAGGTGATAGAAATCACAGGGCAAGGAGGAAAGAAGGGGACGTTTATGGTGTTGACGAAAGGCACTAAAGAGACAGGTTTTTAAGAGCTTTGAAAATAGAGAGAGAAAAAAGGTGAAGGGAATCTGGAAGTGTTACAGAGAGAAGGGCACAGTGGCTGATATAAGCAGATGCTTCACACTCTCACGAGCAGCTTGTGCCATTCCCATGATCGGCTGATGCCGTGATTAGCTTTACACTGATCTCACTCAGAGCCTCGCACTAAGTGACCAGACACCACATATCACATTCCCCATGAGAACAGGCTACGCATTTATTTTTGTTTTTTCCATCTGAGGAAAACTACTGGGTCTCAACATTTCTCAGAGTCGGAGTCTTGAGCCCATCATAATTTTGGAAACATTTTAAATTCGGTGTTGATTTGGAAGCCAGCTTTTTTAAAAAAAGAATGGCAGAAAACCTGACTGAGACCAAGTTTATGGATTTCCCAATAATTTGACTTTATTTTAAAATTGAAGGCAATTGTGTTGAAGCTGAGATTATGAGAAATGTTGGACCTCAATGTGTCTGAAAATATGAGTAGTTTAATCTAAGGTTTATAGATGCACCATTACATCACTTCTGTTCGAAACAGTGTCTGCAGAGATCAAAGGAGTGTACAAGACTGTTGCAGTCATTTCCTGTTATCTGTTCGCTTCCCATTTGCATCTCACTGCTATCATAAACATATCTAATTATATTTGTCAACATTATTCGCCTCCATTGCATCCTTGGGCAATTTGTTGCCCCATATTCACACGTCTGCATGAAGCAGTTAAATCTGCTTTGCCTTTCTGACCTCCATGGTTGCACACTACAACTCACCAAGCCAGTCAGGAACCTAGGTGTCTTGTTCGACCCTCAACTGTCTTTTCTTTCCCACATCTAAGCCATGACCCGCTCTGCCTTCCCTCACCTCCGTAATATTGCCCGATTCCGCCACTATCTCACCCCTCAGGCCGCTCAAACTCTTGTTCATGCCTTCATCACCTCCAGGCTTGACAATGCAAACGCGCTGCTTGTCGGCCTTCCCACCTCCTCTCTCCACAGGCTGCAGGTAATCCAGAACTCTGCAGCCCATGTCCTCTCCTGCACCAAACTCCATGACCCCATCTCCCCCGCTCTCGCCCGACTCCATTGGCTCTCTATCCTTCAGAGGATCCAGTTCAAGATCCTGGTCCTCACCTACAAAGCCCTCCATGGCCTCGCCCCACCCTACCCCTGCGACCTCCGAAACCCCTACCAACTTGTCCACTCCCTCCGCTCAGCCGGCTCCGGCCTGCTCCACCAACCCACCCGCCCCACCATTGGTGGGAGAGCCTTCAGCCGCTCTGCACCCAACCTCTGGAATTCAATCCCCCAGTCACTCCACCTCATCCCCTCCTTAGCCTCCTTCAAGTCCCGCCTCAAGACCCTCCTCTTCGACCATGCCAAGAGCCCAGTGATGAATTATCAGGAGTGGCGAGTTAGACATATGTATGAATGCATAAATAAATGTTGCCGGGATATTGACAGCAATGATCACTTAAGTAGTAGTGATAAGTTAAGCCAGGGTTGATTTATTAGGAGTTTATTGTATTATGTTAAAAGCACAAGCCTCAAATCTTCTCATAAACTTAGGCCGTAAAATTTAGGATTGTGCAGGAATTTAGAAAATTTGTAAATTCATTCCTAATTGCAAGCTGTTCATCTGCAGTAAACAAAAAATATATTGTGGATAACCAGTTTCTGAATTAAGAGTGATTTTCAGAGTTTTCCTAAATCCTCCTCAATCTTAAATGTTAAGCAAATGGAATTAACTAAGATCCAAGGGAATTCAGGCCTCTGCCATCTTTAATAATAATAATCCTTGCATTTCATATCACATCCATGAGACTCAATATATGCAGAATATACTGTAAAGTGAATTGACTGTATAATTTGTGGGCGAAACGCGGCAGCCAATTATACACAGCAGTGGCCCACAAAAAGTTGTGGATTGAGTGATCAACGTATTATTGTTATTATTTTTTTTTTTGAAGGGTTAATTATCTCCGGAAAAGTGATCCACCAGTCGACTAACCGGGATCTTATTTACTGCTTTAAACAGAGGCATGTAGAGTAAGGATATTTGTCTAAGGTTTCCCCCTGCCTGGGAATCGAACCCGAGTCCTCTTGTTTGCGAGGCGAATGCTCTAATCAATATGCTACAGTACTCCATCTTTAAATAATAAACCCTCAACTCCTCCTAAAATGAACTAAGAGATTGAGGTAACTCTGAACAGCTTTGCAGTGTGCTTTTAATAACAGCAGGCTAGGATCTTTCTGTTTCGAGTTATTTTTCACATATGGGAGCACAAGAACTGCAATTTCACCAGTAAGTAATTAACTCAGCCCAGAATGCTGAATCAATCCTCCATAGATACCCTGCGTTTGTTTGGAATAAATAAGGTTTGGGTCAAAAGGCATGGAATCCAATTTAATGTTATTCTTTGCAGCCATAATCCTGCCAGAGTGACCAAACCACAGCACTAACTTTCAAGTGGAGCCACATCAAAGAGGAATCAAGGACTTGGGTTCCCATGAAACTGTGAAAATTATAATATTTATTTATTTAATAATAATCCTTGCATTTGATATAGCACCTTATCATATCTTCGACACATCTCAAAGCGCAACACAGGATATACTGTAAAGCGGATTGATTGTATTTTGTGGGCGAAAAACAACAGCCAATTGCGCGCAGCAGTATTCCACAAACAGTAGTGGATTGCGTGATCCAATTTTTTTTTAAGCGATTATTAACCCCAGAAATCGATTCACCAATCGATGAACAACTGGGTTCCTACATATCACTAGGTCAACATAGATAATAATAATAATAATCCTTGCAATTGATATAGCGCTTTGCACGTCTTCCCGACGTCTCAAAGCGCTTCACAGAATAAACTGTAAAGTGAATTGACCATATATTTGTGGGCGAAACATGGCAGCCAATTGCGCACAGCAGTGTCCCACAAACAGTCGTGGATTGAAAATGACCGATTTATTATTGTTTTTTGGAGGGATTATTATTAGGCGTGTGGAGTAAGGAAACTTACCCAAGGTTTTGCCCTGCCTGGAATAGAACCCAAGTGTCTCGCTTGCAAGGCGAGCGCTCTAACCACTGAGCTACAGGACTCCACTGTAGGAAGTGCTGTAGCTCAGTGGAGCTACAGATGTGAAGTAAGAGAATTTGCCTAAGGTTTTGCCCTGCCTGGGAATTGAACCCGGGTCCTCTTGCTTGCGAGGCGAGTAAAGCACGGTAACCACTATGTTACAGAATTGACAATAACTCGGCAGGTTTAAGGCGCTCCCTGCAGAACTGACTATTTTATACCATTCACTGCAAAGAGGGTCAGTAAATACATTGACCTTTTCTTATAACAACGCAAGAAAAATAGATGAAAAAGAGTATGCCATTCAGATCATCCAGCCTTGTTCCTACCGCAAACAATCTTCCCAGCTCAGACCCACCTCTGACAGTGCAGCGTTCCCCAGCACTGCCATGATACCAGGAAGATTTTATTTACTTATTAGGTAATTAGTGACTGGAATAGGGTACCAGGAAGGATGATTGAGTCTGTGTCATTGATCTCATGTAAAAAGCAAAACCAAACTAATCTTGTAACTTTGTCAGTGGTACGTACCTCTATTCTCACTCTGACTGAGATCTGACAAGATAGTGCCTTTACCAGCTGAGGACAGCATGGGGTTCATGATACTTTTCTTTCACTGGTGCAAGAAAAATGATTCCTGCACCACTGATGTAAGCTAGCCAATGTGATAGAATTTATACAAAGATTCACAGCAATATAATTTTAAACAGTGCCACCTTTGGGATATGACATGACATAACATAATCCAAAGACAAATAATGTACTGTAGTAGCATTTCCCCTTCTTTCACAATCATTGTGTGTCAACCTATTTCAATTGGAACACTCTCGCCTCTGAGTCAAAAGGTTGTGGGTTCAAGCTCCATGTCAGGACTTTGAACTCATTTAGTCTAGTACTTCAATGCAGTGCTAGGGGTGTCTTCTTTCGAATAAGAAGTCTCGACTGCCCGTTCAGATGGATGTTAAAGTTTCCAAAATATCATTTGAAGAGAGTTTCTCCCAGTGTCCCACCCAACAAGTTTCTAGTTAAAATTGATAATTCACTTACTTCAATACAGTTTGCTGTGCCTAAACTGGCTTGCACATTTGCTAACAAAATATACAGTCACTACACTTTACAGTAATATCCTGTGAAGTGCTTTGAGACAACCTTCTGATGTAAAAGGATCCATATCAAATATAAGGATTGTTATTTATTATTAATGAAATATTTTGGGATGGCTGGAGAGTGCACCTACTATTAATGATGTACATCAAAATATTTATTGTGTATCAACATATTCCACAATAGGAAAGACACCAATAGCTCAGCTGATAAAGGCATCAGCCAGGCTCAGTTGACAATCTGAATGTGTGTGTTGAGTACCATGGGTTAAAAGCATCAGTAACATATTTATGCAAGAAACTAATGGTTCTGCTGGAGGATGCCATCTGGGACAAATA